GATGATTTATCCAGGGATCATCAGAGACAGTTTGCTGGGGAAGATGCCCTCATTCTTCCCAAGCTTTTATCAGGGTTATACAACCCTGTGCTAATTTGTGCTTAAAATTCTCCTCCTTTCTCCATGCCACCTGTCCCCAAAACTTCGGGAAGAAGACTGAATAATGTCTGGGGTTTACATTAGCAGGAAATCTTTTTCCTTAAGCATCAAGTCATGTGCGTCCACAAACATGCCTTTGCATAACATTAGAAAAGTGCAAGGTTCTTAAAACTTTTCATTATTCATTCATTATATAATTACTGAGAGTTTAACATATACTAGACACTGTTCTAGACCTTCAGTGCCTTTGTATTAAGCCTTAAAAGGTAGCCGAATTTTCCTGAGGCTGAGAAAGATAGAGAGGCAACTCAGACATAAGGAACAGTGGCCTCAGAGGTGCAAATGTCTAAGGGTAAATGGCTCCTTATCATTAGATTCTAGAGTAAATGAAGGCCAGTGGCAAGAACCAGGCTGAAAACATAAATGGGGCTAAATAATGAAGGACCTTGAATCCCAAGATCATCAATTTGGACTTTACTTTAAAGGCTGTGGGAACCTCTGAGGGCTTTGAGTAGAAGAACTGAATCATCGAGGGATCCAGCAGAAAGAAATGGCACACTCAGTTGAGGATAATTGGAGATGTGTTAAATGTAGGGGCTATTTACTAAGGTTTGGGCAGTGTGTAGCAAAACTACAAGGTATAATGTTATACCTGGAGCAAGCAATACCAGGGCTGTTAAGCAGAAGAGGGTGAAGGGAAGGAGCAATTGCTGTGTGTCATTCAAAGATCATCTTGCAAGGAGCTGTAACTTTGGTTGGGGTGACACCACAGTGAGGGAGCCAGTGTGTGGAGATCCCAACTTCATTCTCATCCTCTTTTGACCTCCTGCCAGTACTCCCCATTGGCTAAAACCAAGGGAGGCCATTGTTATGGTCCATTCACGCCAGAACCCACCCCCCCCCCACCACCCCAAGTCCAAGAGCAGGATAGAGTGGATTTGCAGGGGCAAATGGAAGATGTCCTGAACAAGGGTAGTGTGATGATCAGAACATATCAACAAGATCATCTTGGGCAGAATGGAGGCTGAATTAAAGGCAGAGGGATGGGGACAGGAAGGGAATACAGG